AATATAGACTATGAAGAGTACCCAAGGGGCAAAACATCCCAACTCATTAGCAGAAATTAAACATGTTTCTTCCTTATCGAAAACAGTGGTTTCAGAAAGTTACTGTCACAAGATTGGAACTTTAAACAGAAATGTCAAGAACTCAGGGCCTTTTGTGATTAATCCTTCCTTTGCTGGAGGGATCTGCCACCTTATTCCCAACAATCCCTCACTAATAGCCAGGGCTCACCACTGATACGCTCATTACCTGCCCTTGTAAATTAAGGGGCCACACATCCTCTCTGATTCCATCCAGGTTGACTCAGCTTTGGGAACAGAAGGGTACTCCTCCATCAGGGATTTATAAGAGACAGCTCCACCAGTTGAGAACATTCTTCTCTTTAGATGTGCTCCTGCAGGAGTGTACACTTAATGACTGTTTTAAGGTAGGTCCTTAAGTAGCTTGTCTTTCCTTTCTTAACTTCTTACAACTAAGAGAATGCATTGATCAGGCCCCCTTCATGCAATTACTGACACCAGGTAATAAATATGGATTGGCCCCTGGCTCTGTGGAATCTGTAAGGTCTGATCTTCCTGCTCCCATGAGCAGAGACTGAGAGGCGGGTATCATCAAAGTCACAGGAAATCTTCACTAGCATTCCTTATGCCACTCAAGTTTCTGTCCTCTATCTATCTGCACATTCAATCTCATCCATTGCTCAAAAACTTGGCAGGGACATTGTAGAGAAGATAGAAGCACCAGTTTGTGGACTAACTAAATGCCTTTTAAGGTCCTTCTCAATCAAAATATAGACCGAAGAGCACATATGAACAATTGCCAATGACAAAATTATATTATTATTCAGCTCAGTAGATACTTACTAGATACCCATTACATGCCAGGTACTATGGTGAAGCATTACTTCATAGTGAAGATAACTAGAATTCAATTGGGATGATGCCATTACCCATTTGTTTTAGAGATCAGAATTCCCTAATTTTAGTAACAATGTCCAAACTCCAAATGCTATCATGGCTCATATTTGGTAGCCCCCTGGCCTGTTTCTGATGTCTCCCCAAACTGGCTCCATAGATTTCTGGGCCTTTATTCAGGAAGTGCTGCTTCCTTCTCCACATCCCTCTAAGCTCAGTTTAAACATCACATCCTTGCCAACTTCCTCCCCAAAGGGACTGTTCTTGTGAAACTTTGCTGGCTCTTACAGTACAGCAGTGATTGCATTCTACTCTGTAATTCAGTTGACTGTTTCTGAATCTGTCCTGGCAGAGATCCTTGAGGGCAGGGAGCAGGAAGATCAGACCTTACTGTTCTAGTATCTCCAGTGCAATACTTTGAACACAGTAATAACTTTAGCTATTATTTTCTCATGAAGAAAAGAATGAATCTCTCAGGTGCCTTCTAGATCAAAGCTTAGTTGAATTTGGTTTGATGAATACTGATTGGTTTGTAGAATCCAAATCAGTACTAAGAGCAGCTGTACAGAAGCTGGGTACTTGGAAAGAGGATGGACTATGGGCAATCCAACTTGGGCTTGATACCAGTGATGCTATTTCCTAAGCTACTGGCATTGGGACATTGCTTCCATTCACTGAGCCTTGGATTTTAACCTATAAAATGGTAATAGGCACTGGGGGTGATCTCTAGGACTGCTGTGAATATAAAAATAAGACTGTGTATCAAAAGTCCTTACACAAGGACTAGCACTCAGTGGAAACCAATGTCAGACGTCAAGTTTTTACTGACAATAAGATTACATCACTACCCTGACAAAAGGGTAATGTGAAGGTGAGAACAGAAACTAAGCCAAAAGTTACAGAATAATGGCTGCCGAAGAATTAAAGATAGGGAGTAGCAGGATGAAGTAGAAGAGGAATGGAATGAGTCCAAAAGTGTATGCGGGTATTATATTATTCTTTGGGTAACTTGTTGCTTTTTCTCTCCAGAAGTACTCAGTTCAATACTCAGTTGAAGTAGAACTGGGCTTCAGGATGGGCGAATTCAAGGCCACAGTTGAATTGATGAGGGCCCTAGAATCTCTCATTGTGTGTTTTATATGACTTGAACCCAATAAACTGACGGAGTCATTTAGAGAGCTTTCAGAGGATTCAAAGCACTTATCACAGATGGCTGCACACGTTACGGGTACTCTTGAACAGCTCAATTAGAAACATTAAGGGATCAGACTGACTTATAGGGGCATACTCCAGGAGACAATAGGAAAGTATATTTTTTTCACTGGAAATATTCAGTCTGTTTTTTCTTATTAAGAAAATAAGTTATCATGATAATTTCAAATCAGAACATTTTTGCACCTCACTTTCTAGAAATTACACAGCAAATAAACAAAAAGATAAACATAGGGTTCAAAAACATATTTGGTATTTGACCTGAACTCATATGGGCCCCATGTATGGTATAGTTTTAACACATGGGTAAAAATTTATATATTTTGCTGCAGAAATATGTGCTTCATAATGGCATTGTCCGGGTGTTCCCTGTGCTAAATAAAATTTGAAACTTCTGAATTCCAAAACAAATCTGGGCCCAAGAGTTTCAAAGGAGGGATTGTGGATCTTTACAAACTTAATCATGTCAGACATTAGGCCATATTTTCCAAGCTTTTATCATTCTCTATCAAATCAACACTCTTGCTACATTTATATATAAACTGTATTATCATACTTTCCAGTACAGTAGTTTCCCTTATCCACATTTCCTCTCCTACCCCATGGTTTCAGTTACCCACAGTCAACTGTGATCCAAATACATTAAATGGAAAATTCCAGAAATAAACACTTCATAAATTTTAAATTGCACATTGTGCTCAGTAGCACAAAGAAATCTTGTGCTACCATGCCTGGGGTGTGAACCACCCCCATCTAGCATATCCATGTGGTCTTTGCGATCTGTTAGTCACTTGGCAACTGTCTAGGATATTAGACCCACTGTTGCAGTACTGTCCCACAGTGAAAGAACAGTGATGCAATTCAGATATGCCAAATAGAAGCCAAAGTACTTCCTTTCATATCATCCCAAGAGGAAAGGTGAACGTAGTATAATAAGCTATTTAGAGAGAGAGAGCACACATTCACACAACTTTTACCAAGTACATTGTCATAATTGTTCTATTTTATTATTGTTAATATTTTACTGTACCTAATTTATAAATTAAATGTTATCATAGATAAGTATATATAAGAAATAGATATATATTTACAGAGTTCAGTACTATCCAAGGTTGTTGGCATCCACAGAGGTACTAGAAAAGGAGGGACTACTGCACTTGCCTTCAGATCCTTTTTCCTTAAATAACATACCTTTTAAAGAAATGCCTTATATCCACTGCAAAAGTTGAAGGTTTGAGAGGTCTGTTCTCTGGTTAAAGAGTGAGATTCTGATAGAATAGAGAGGTGTTAAAGACAGAGTAGAATGAAACTGAGATCTTTGCCTCAAATCATCAGAAAGCTCAAAAGAAAACTGAAAAAGAAATAACTACCTTTCTGTATGACTCAGTGTCATCTGTGCCATGCCGGCACACCATCTCCAAGATCCTATGCTTTGGGAAACTGGCCTAGACTGTCATCGTCCCAATACTCAGGAAACAACTCTGCTGAGAGAGGAAGTCTGGGGTTGGGGACATGGCTGTACAAAAGCATAACATAGCAGTGAAGAGGGCTCATTGTTTTTTCTCTTTTTGTTCTGTCACCCAAAACCTGTCAGCTGGATTCAGTGGTCACTTGCTGCAACTGTTTATTTATCAAATTGGCACCAAAGTAATTTTGAGTACAACTCTCTGGAGCATTCACAGCCTCCACTTGTCAAAGGACACCTCAGAACAATAGGACCTAGATGTGAACACAGACTGACCAACGAAAGAGACCTCTATCCTTTATTAACTACACTAGCCACTGTAAGTAATGGCCTTCACAATTGGTAGAGTAAGATTTATTGTAGAAAGAAAATACGTCAGTATTGAGAAGTACCTTCAAATAGATATCATCTATACATATTTTTGTAAAAATAAAATAAATTGGATACAAGGGAGAGTTCTTCCTTAGAGTAGCATACTGGGAGTTGGAAATGTTGGAGGTTAGAAATCTCCATTTTGTAACCATTTCAAAATTAAAAATGTAACTACACATTGATTAAACTAAGTGATCAAAATTAACATCACCAGTAAGGGGAAAACATCATGAGCCTCTGGATGTGGTGGACCAATATCACTACTGAGGTATTCATGAATCTAATCATGAAGAAACATCAGACAGACCCCAATTGAAGGAGATGTTGCATAAGCTTATATTCTTAAAAATGTCAAGAAAGACAAAGAAAGACTGTAAGATTGTTCCAGATTAAAATACACAATCCTGGTCAGGTATGATGGCCACAAGCCTATGATCCCAGCAACTGTGGAGGTTGAGGCAGGAGGATAGAAATTTTGAGACTAGTCTCAGCAATTTAGGCACTCAGCAACTAAGCAGACCCTATCTCAAAAAAAAAGGGGGGCGGGGGGGGAGCTGGGAATGAAACTCACTGGTAAAGTGTCCCTGGGTTCAATCTCTAGTATCACAACAAAAATAAAAATAGAATCCCAGACTGTGTTTAATATTAGAAAAAAATATATAAATTATTAGAATAGTTGACATAATTAGAATATGGATGTCAGAATAGTAAAAGAACTGAATCAATGTTAAATTTCCTGATTCTGAATACTAGTTAAGAGAATATCTTTTTTTTTTTTTAAAAAAAGGAAATCCATGCTATGAATTCAAGAGTATAAGGCAACCTCTTACCCTCAAGCAGTTTATGAAAAAATACATATGTATGCAAATAGGAAATGATCAATATTAAAAATAGGTGACTGTGAGAAAGATAAGTGGGAGTTGTTTTACTACTCTTCCAACTTTTCTGGAAATTTGAAATGAGGTCTAAGAAACTTCTCCCAGTTCACGAGGCTGACATGGAAGCCAACATCATACTTCCGATTTCCATTTGGACTTACCATCCTTCTGAGAATCCTCAGCAGAAGCTTCTGCTCCTTTGGATCCTCCCTGGACATCAGCAAATCAGCAAAACATTCCACATTTTCAGGGGACAGGCTGTCTGGGTTTTCCCCTCCATACAGCTGAACCAGTATAGACAGACACTTGGATGAAACCTCAAAAATTTCAGGATCCTCACTAGGAAGCTGAAAAGTAACAAATAGGATACTTTAAATTCCATTGAAGATAACGTTGGTATTCCTCAAAAAGTACAGTAAAATTTGGCTCAGAACATCTGTCTGAGCAGAAAGTTTGACTAATTGAATATTTTTTGGAATTAATCTATTGTAAAGTTATAGGATAGCTCAAACACAAGTCTAATGGCACAAAATCAAAAGAAGATCCTGTAGAGCTTTTTTTAACCAAAGGAAAAAATGAGCAGAACTAGTAGAGGATGGAGATGTATTTTACATCTGGCACATGCATGGGTTCATCTCTATTTACGGGGGGAAGGTGTTGATGGATTTTTCAGGGGCAAGTTCCTTTAGATTCTCATTTACCCGTAACTTGCTTAGGGAAAATCCACTTTCTAGAGAATATTAAGGAATATTTTAGCCTTTCCTGCATCCAAATCATCATTGACTCTACAGAGGGGAGATACACCATTAGTTCTATGTATACTAAAAGACACAACATGAAATAGTAATCATATTATAAACATTTTAATCTATTTTTAGTTTTTATTTTATCTGCAATATCTTTATTGAGATGTAATATTTATACCATATAATTCACCCAAAATGTATAATTCAACAGTTTTTAGTACATTCACAATCATACAACCATTAATACAATCAAACCTTTTAAAATTATTTTTGGTGCTCTGGATTGAACCCAGGGCCATGCCACACTAAACATATACTCTACCACTGAGCTATATATCCAGTCCCTGCAATGAATTTTAGAACATTTTCATCATCCCCAAAAGAAATCTTATACACTTTAGTAAGATTTTGCTATCCCTTTTTCCTATGCTTTTTTGTTTCTATGTATTTACCTATTTTGATTATCTAAGATACATAAAATCCTATAAAATGTGATCCTCTGTGACTGGCTTCTTTCACTTAGAATTATGCGTTCAAGGTTCATCCACTTTGTAGCATGTATCCATAAGATGGAAGTAACACATTTTGTTTACCTATTTATAAGCTGGTGGACATTGAGAGCTTTCAATTTTAGGCTATTCTAAATAATGCTGCTGTGAACATCTGTGTACTTATTTTTGTGCAAGCATATGTTGTTTCTTTGGGGTATATACCCAGGAGTGGGATTGCTGGGTCATGTGGTCACTCTATGTTTAACCTTTTGAAGAACTGCCAGGCTGTTTTCTGAAGTTGCCATTTGTAACAACAATGTCTGAGAGTTCTAGTTTTCTCACATCCTAACCAATTCCTGTTATTACCTGACTTCTGCATTCAGCCCTCCTAGTAGCTATGGAGTATGATTTCCATTTATACTTTCCTGATGGCTAATGATGCTGAATCTTCTCACATGCTTATTGGCCTTTTGTATATCTTTTTTGGAGAAATAGCTGTGCAAATCCTTTGCCCATTTTTAAAATAAATCATGTGCAAAAAAATCAATATAGCATGTGGCTTTTTATGATTGAGTTCTGATAGTTCTTTATGTTTTAAATATGATTTTAGAAAAACAATTTTCCATTCTGCAGGTTCTTTTCTACTGTCTTAATAGCATTCTTTGAAGCACAAAATATTTTAAATTTGAAGAAGTTTCATTTATCTTTTTAATTCAGGGTTTATATACGTAATTTTTGCAACATATCTAAGAGTGCACAACCAAGCTCATGAGGACTTATATGCTTTTCTTGCTAAGGATTGCTTTGGCTATCCTGGGCCTCTTATTTTTCCAAGTGAATTTCATGACTGCTTTTCTTTTATTTCTATGAAGAATGTCATATGAATTTTAATGGGAAAAATTCATAAAATATGTATAGCACCTTTGGTAGTATGATCATTTTGACAATATTAATTCTCCTATCCAAGAACATCAGAGGTCTTTCCATGATGTGATCCCATATCTAGAAGACCCAAAAAACCCCATGAGAAAACTTCTAGAACTCATAAATGAGTTCAGTAAAGTAGGAGGAGACAAATCTAACACCCATAAATCAATTGTGTTCCTATGTTCCAATGATAAATCAGCTAAAAGAGAAATTAAGAAAATTATYCCATTCACAATAGCCTCAAAAAACATACTTGGGAATCAATTTAACAAAAGATGAGCTTTACAATGAAAAGTACAGAATACTAAAGAAAAAAATTGAAAAAGACCTTATTTTAATTTTCATTCAGTTCTATGCATTTTAAAATTTTCCTTTAAGAATTCATCTTTCACCCATCAATATTTAGAAGTGTGTTTTCTTTTTAGGTGTTGGAAAATTTCCATTTGTCCTTCTGTTATTGACTTCTAACTTGATTCCACTTTGGTCAGAGACTACTGTATGATTTCAGTATTTATTTTAGTTTTTTTTATTACTCCTTATTTATAGCAATCACTTACTACCTTTCTGCTTTTGTATAAGTGTTTGCCTTTTGAATATTTTAAACTTTCTTTTACAAACTTCCTATCCTATTTTCTTTCCTCTTAATAATTTTTAATTTTATTATCTTTAAGAACATTCATGTTACTGCCATTATTAGTACTAAGCAGGCCATAGTTGATACCTACTACTTACTTTAACGTTAGATCTAGTTCACAGCTGTTCATTGCTGCTGCTATTGTTAAATGGTTATCCCACCATTCCATTTTGTGGTAATTAATGGTGTACATAGGCACTGGACATTTATTCTAATGAGGTAATTGATCATTATTGTAGCTGCTGGTGCTTGTTTCCCTTTTTTCTGAAGAGGAGCTAGGAAGCAACTGGTACACTACAACTTCATAGGGTACAGACTCTGTAGCTGAACTATATCCCCAACTCAACAACGAAACAGTACACCTTCCTCCACACACAAACCAACCCTACTCAAGCTTCAATAATACTATAACACATAGAACAGGGGAGATAAAAACTCCAAAACAAAGACTAGATCCAAAGTAAATATGCCTAGAAGGGAACATCAGGTCCCACTCTTTTTTTTTTCTCTTTAATATGTACTTTTTTAGTTGTACATGGACACAATACCTTTATTTTATTTTTATGTGGCGCTAAGAATCAAACCCAGTGGCTCATGCATGTCAGGAGGGCGCTCTACCACTGAGCCACAGCCCCATTCCCAGGTCCCACTCTTGGACATCTATACCTACAGCAAAATCAGAGAAAGAACTCTAAAAAGATTAGAAAAACACATACCATTATAGCAGTTTAATAATGGTAAATTAATCCAGCAGTTCAGGAGCAAATCTACAGGCACTGGTGGTGAAAAATAACACTTGAAATACACTGAACTTATGTGATGAAGCAAATGGAAACCAACATGGAAGTCATTACAAAAGAGACAACTACATGCCAAAGGATGTCCTCAAAAAATAGGAAAAAAAAATCTACCTCAAAAGATGTGCAAGTATAAGACCTCTGAAACATGAAGAAACAGGCAAACAAGTCTCCTCCTATCTAAAGATACAATCCCCTAACAAAGGAACACACACAAAAGGTGACAAAATTTCAGAGAAAGACTGAAAAAATGATTATTAAAAGAATTAATGAATTAAAAGAAGATCTAAGAAATTAATTAAGAAATGAACTAAGAGAGCAATTATAGGAGGTAAAAGACCATCTCAACAAAGAAATAGAAACTCTGAATAGGAACCACTCAGAACTAGAAAGAACGATATAATAAATCAAATAAAAAATTCACTCAATAGCATTACCAACAGACTAGATTACATAGAAAGCAGAATCTCAGGCCTTGAAGATAAGGCATTTGAGCTAGAACACTCAGTAGACAGTAAATAAAAATAAATAAATGACATGCTCAGGATATACAAGAACTCTGGGGCAAGATTCAGAGACCAAACATGAGAGTCATCAGGATAGAGAGGGAATAGAAATACAGGCTAATGGCATTAAGGGACTTTTCAGTGAAATAATGTCAAAATTGTTCACATCTTAGAAATGAGAAGTTCATTCACACACAGGATATAGAACCCCAAATAGACAAGATCAAAAAAGAACCTCCTCTAGATACATCATAAACAAAATGTCTAAGAAGAGAATGATAGAATATTAAAGGCTGCAAGAGAGAAACATCAGATCACATTTAGAGGTAGACCAATACAACTCACATTAGACATCTCAACTCAGAATCTAAGAGCCAGAAGGGCTTGTAATGAGATAATGCAAGCTCTGAAAGAACACAATTGCCAGCAAAGGTTGTTATATTCAGCAAAGGAATCATTCATAATTGTATAAGAAATAAGAACTTTCCAAGATAAAGATAAAAGAATTCATGAATATAGAAATTACTAAAGAAATACAACAGAAAGAACTCATACCTCACAGTTCTCAAATAGTTGAAGCTTTCCAGAAGAACAATTAAACAAATGAAAATTAAAAACAAGTTAAATCTATGAAACATACCAAAATGACTAGAAATAACAAACATGTCTCTGTAATAACTTGATTCTCAGCTTTCCAATTAAAATACATAGATTAGTAGACTGGATTAAAAAACAAGACCCAATTATATGCTGCTTGCAACAGACTCATCTTATACACAATGATTATCAACAGGCTGAAAGTAAAAGCATGGAAAAACATATTCCACACAGAATCTGAAAACAAGCAGCTATTCTCTTATCTGCCAAAGAACATTTCAAACAAAAATTAATCAGAAGAGACAAGGAAGACAGCTAAGTGCTGTTAAAAGAAAGAAACCAACAAGAAGATATAATTATAGTAAATATTTATGCCCCAATGTTGGCACACCTAATTCATAAAAACACTTCTTCTAGTTCCAGATAGACTCCAATACAACAATACTTGGTGATTTCAACACACCCCCTCTAAACAAGAGACAGGTCATCCAGACAAAGTCAATAAAGATACTTCTCACCTAAATGAAACTATAAATCAAATGGAGCTAAGAGATATCTATGGAATATTTCAACCAAAACAGCTGAATACTCTCTCTTCTCAGCAGCTCATGAAACCTTTTGCAAAACAGACTATATTTTAGGAATTAAA